TTAAAAGGGTGGGTCCATCTGCATTCTCCTCTGTTTTTCAAATGGAAACTCCCACTTAGCTATTATCAAAAAGCAGTGACATAAGTAAGGGGATGAACCTTTATTTAATCAGCTGAAACCACGTTGTGATTTAATATTATACTGCAGGTCAAAAGCAGACCATTCAACACCAAACAACCATGTTGGACATTATTTGACAATCCAGAGGCAGATCACATTAATACTGTATTTTCTAGAATTCCACTTCACTGAAACCTTTCAAGGGCTATTTATTTCAACCATAAAAGACATTAACGACTATGTTATTGCAAGCAACTGTGCTGTGATGTACCTCAGAAACACTGAAGAAGCTTTACAAGGAGGTAACTGACAATGATTTAAATTGCAGCCAGCAAAAAAAGCTCCAGTATGTAATTGTTATAATGCATTTTTGGCATAATGTATTGAGTGTTTTTAAAGATCTATAGTTAGTGTATTACCCAAAGTAGATGGTGGTCGGCACGCTTCCCGTTTGGAGAAGCACTGTACTGCGCAGGACACCACATTAGTTTGGTTTCAAAAGTCACACTATTAGACAAACAAACTAACTGATCAGATTCAGAGGCAACACCAGACCTTGTCTTCTGCGATGTAAAATTACTGTTTCTGTCAAAGGAGTCTGGTGGATGTGGACAGGAGCAGCAGCAAAATGTATTTTAGTCACCTAAAAAATGGACCACCTCAAAAAAAAAAAAAAAATCAACATCAATCTAAGTATATATCATGTTTAGATTATTTTACCTCTTTACCTTGTCCTCAGACAGCCCGTTCAGACAGGGAAATAAAGCCGTTAAATCACCCCTCTGAAAGCCACAAGACTCCAATTTTACCTCTCAGTACACAGAGGTTGCTGGTCTACCGATGCCTTAACCGTTTATTTTGTTTGTTATTGTGCGACTTTCAGAACTAAACTAACATGGCATCTACGGCAGTAGATGGGTTTATATGTAGCAACTTCATCATGAAGAAACCTACATTAGGTCAAGTGGGATAAAGTCTTTAGAGGGGCTTAGGAAAATAGTGTTTTGATGCCAAAGCTACACACCTTGACCATAATTTGAATTTTTAGATATGAATACACAATGAGCACTGCTGGAAAGTATAGAAAGATATAAAAATCTGAAGATAAAAAATAATAATAATGGAGCCACCCTTTAAGAAAACAATTACATAAGGGAAGCAAAAGATGTAAAAACACCTGTTTAATGACAATAGAAAAGGACTGTATATCGACTTACAAACTTCTCCAGAATAGATGCATCCGATCTGAGCAAGTTTGCCCACTGTTTCAGCTGCTGACCAGTCGGTTTCTGGAAACCAAAGACAGTGTTCATAAAACGAACCATGGAATATCTGAGGTGTTAATTTATTAAAATGAGTCAATTGTGCTAAAATAGAAACCACATAATGTTTCGATCTATTTTTAGTCAAGGTGGTTAAAAGTGTGTGGGTGTCCGTCTTTGATTCTTACCACAGTGAAAGCAGAGAGACACTAATACTGACAAACTGTTTTCTGTCATTTATTAGAAGGGGTGTAATATCAATGTTATTTGGACTAAATGGAAAGGGATCAAAATGAATGCTTCTGTACCTTGGCTTTGCCCCTGTTACGGCTGTGTTTACAGCGGTGTTTACGCGTGTTGTATTTTGCCAACTGATACTCGTTGAACTGCTTGAACTTGTCAGCCATTGCTTTCTTCAGGCACATTGGCAGGGAGCGGCTGAAGCACTGGAAAAAGACAAAAAGGTGTTAAGACTGGACAGAAGTGACACATCCAGATTCCATCACGCAGTAGGAACTCACTAGGACTTACTGTGCTGTAGATTCTGACTACTTCCAGCCAATCTGAGGGCAGCTGTACAGCAGCACAGAAGTATCTGCGGACATGTGGCTTGGTGGAGGGCTGATTGGCAGCCAGAGCCAATAAGAAGTTTGCTGTGATGCGGATGTTCAGCTCCTGTCGAGTGTAAACTGCAACCTGAATGGTAAAAGAAAAAGCATACTGTACATAACTGATACAAATGATTATAATCCTGTACTGTCTGGAAATTAATCCCACTGGCCTGTTTCTCTGGCAAAAAAGGGTAGCTAATACAATAGTCAACACAAAAAAGACCACATGCTGGATATACCAGGTTGCAAAAATATTGTATAATGAAATATTTCCTAGTCATCTAATGCAGTTATTCAGAACATCCCAGATCAAACCCAGACCGTTGAACACCCAACAACCATGTTGAATGTGATGTGGCAATCCAGAGGCAGATCACATTAATGTTTTCTGGAGTTCCACTTAACTGAAACCTTTCTAGGACAATTTAATTCAACTATTAAGGACATTACGGAATATGACATTGTGAGCAACTGTGCTGTGATGTACCTCAGAAATAGTGAAGAAGCTTTACAAGGAGATAACTGACAACGATTTAACTTGCAGCCAGCAAAAAAAGCTCCAATATGTAATTGCTATAATAGCATAATGTCTTAAGTCTTTTTCTGGGTTGATTCATTTGATTGGTTGACTATGATAACAACATCATGAAGTCCCAGTAGGATTGAAATGTTATCAGTTTAGTTAAATGTAGGTTCATGAGCTACAATCCAGTTTGATACAAATAAAAATGCCTTCAAACACATATGCACAGACATGCATACACACCTTGAGAAGAAACTCTGGGTCATGGACAGAAATGTCCTTCGCCAGGTTCATGATCTTGGTCCACACACTGTTCTCTGAGTCCCAATCCTTCTGGCCTGGATTTGTGCTCTTATTCACCAGGGAGCAACACAGCATGTTCAGCAGGAGATACTAAGGAACAGACAAAGAGACAATTAAGTATCTTCACAACACAGAGGAGTTAGAGTCACTCCTACCTCTCCTACCTTTTTATCTTTCAGCTCCTCTTCAATACTCTCATTTCCTCTTTCAATCTCAGCAAACTCCTCCTGTCTGATGACCACAGCTTGTTCCAGTTCCTGGTTACCCAACTCTGTTTCCAGGACAGGTAATTCCATGGTTGTCGCATCAGCATCATCCTCCTCATCTTCAGGCAAATCATCATCTTCCTCAGAATACTGCTGATGTAGAAGAAGTTACATTAAAACAGTAATACCGTCAAATGGGATGCATCAAATATGGCATTTGGTAAATATTTTGGATAAGGATGTAATAGCAGCAGAAGTAATTTTTTAAAAAATGTCTAAAAAGGCTTTCACGTACCACACTTTCTTCAGAAGAGGACAGCATCATTTCAGATGATTCCTCTTTGCCTTCTTCTCCTCTATCATCCCTCTTCTGTTCCCCACCCAGAGCACGATGGAAGGATGAAGGAGGCTGAGCAAAGCGATTAAGCAGAGCACTGCTGGCCAGGGATGTGGAGAGCAGAGACTCATTGGGGACAGATGTAGAAGTGATGAGGGAAAAAGAGAGAGCAGGTGAATGGCTACTTAGGAGCTTGTTCTCAGTGCTGAGGAGAGGAGAGGTGAGGGAAGGCGAGAGGGAAGATGAGGACAGAAGGGAGGATGAGGTGGATGACAGGCTGGAGGGCTGGAGAGAGGGGCAAGGTTGTGCTGCAAAAAGAGAGCAGGGCTGGGGCATCAGTGTGGAGGTCTGAGCCAAGAACTTATTCTCCAGACTTGGAGGAGCATAGTTGGATGACAAACTTCTCCCACATGTGGCCTGCTGCTGACCTCCTTGGGCCACATTAGCCTGCTGCAATGTCAGCGCCCTCATCCCTGCTGACAAACAAATCAATCAGAGGGTCAAAGGCTGTCACAAACACAAACATTAACAATCTTAAATGGCAGTGAGTACTGAGACAAGCAACTCAACAGCATTCCTTCGACTGTTTGAACAAGCATTGTACTACTGTAGTAGTGGGTGTGTTGCTCAGTTGAAAGCAGTCATAAAAAGGGAACAAAGTCTGGAAACAATCAGCATACACCCTGGCAAACTTTTCACAGTTTTTCACTAGACATCAGGAACACCATAATGCATTAAGGATATGCAAAAAATGGTAAAATCCACCACACAGAAGTATACTTCCCTTAGATTATGGACGAAATGCAAGCAATGCAAAAGCTTGCTGCACACCAAACACTCAGTTTAGGACCAAATTAAAACTTCATTCAACTTCATAAATTTCATTGACAGTAAATGTTAAATAAGTACCAAGAAGTTTCAAGTTGGTCCAGAGCGAAGTTTTCAGTTTACTGCAAGTCCTTGCAAGTAGCACATTACATGTATTCATAAAAAAAAATGTGACGTCTAAGCGACAAAACTGTGTGTAGAAAAGGCATGCATTTAACTATCAGAAAGCTAATCATATCACTACTAACATTATGACAGCCACTGGATTTAGCTGCCCTAAATGAATAGAAGTGAGACATTAATCAGCATTAGTAAAGATGTTTTCTAGTGGCCTGCTTGTTTGTAATGACTCAAGCGTTTTACATAGGTGTGGTGGTTAGCCATGAACGCCTTGATTATGCGCAGAACACTCACCGGAGAAAAACACAGTTTAAACTCCACGGGCAGAGCGATGACTCTGAACAAACGTCTCCTCTTGTGTATTTTATCACCGTTTGATGCACTGCAGTGTCAGTATCTATTTCTGAAGCCTATAAAGCGAAGTGTGGCTCCTGATTTCCCGTATATTTCCTCATCCGACCAGCTGCTGGGCTACTGGCTACAGAGCGCTGATTGGTCAGTATTATTGTGTACTTTTTTACCGTAATATCACATATACGGGTGCCTATCCTAAATTCGTCGAATATTAAGTCGAGTGAAGGCGGGTTTACTTTGGAAGAAAACAACAATAATCATAAACAAAGAAAGCAATTACAACATAAAAAGGTAAATATTATGTATTGCCTAGTCTACAAACCATTTGGGTGACACGGTGACGCTACCGTAACTGTTTGAGAACGGGTCCAAAGGAGGAAGCGAAAACGCTTTATTTCCGCTGCAGCAACGAGAACGGGCACATCAAAAAAGAAAGAAAAATGTGGACCGTTGAGACAAACTGAGCCAAGAGACGGGACGATGAGCTACATACATCGTTTTCGTTTAAACTGGTTACCAGATAGGCGTTGTTAAATAAAGTTCCCTGACAAATTTTTGACAGTTTAAGGGTCGTTTCGAGGTTAACTCGCCCCCCTTGTTCTGTGGTGGTTAAGTTTGAGGAAGCAGCACGGCTAGCCAGCTGCTGAGTTAGCTAGCTCGCTAGAGATGGGGACGAGAGCAAGTCGCCTACAGGAAGACCCGGTTCCCTCTGCTTTCGGAAAAGATGGCACAAAGCGGGATTCATATCGGCGACCTCGCTGCGCCAGGCCCACCAGTCTCATGGTCGACTTCTCGGGAAGCTTCGAGGACACGGAGGCCAACCGGAGCCGCTCGGAGGAAGGCAGCGATTCGGACCTGGGGCAGCATGGGGCGAGCGCCGATGGTAGCCCCGCTGACCACCACAGCATCCCCTCTAGCATTAGCCAGGCGTCACCTGCGGACGACAACAACAGCGAGGGGAAGCCCGATGAAGACGGGAGTATAAGCCCAGAGCCTCCCGTCGTAGCGGAACATCAGTCCGGAGAGGAGACAGGCCGCACGCCCCACCGCACTTTTTCTGAGCGGCTGCCCGGGAATCGGCACTCTTCCGCCCGCAGCGTGGGCGCAAGATCCGCCCGGGTCCGAGGCACACACCAGCGGCCGGTGTCAGAGGCGTGGATCGGCCTTTATCGTGTTAACAACCGTCATGGCAGTAAGTTAACATATTTACCCTATCCACTAGTATTTTCTATACGTGTAATTTTATTATTTATGGTGTATTTATAACACTTGCCACAATAATGGGCTGGTTTCCGTCAGTATTTGATGGATTGCCCTTTTTTTTGGATGTCAAGTCGGCTCACATACAGGAACATGACGTTTTTAACAGGAGTTCCCTGGAAATCCTGGATGGGTTGGGGTTTGGCAATGTCGGCTGAATGAAATTACTCAATACCTCAACTTAAAAATGTGACGAAATCGGGAGTATGACTGTTGATGCCTCTCAAAACAGCTGATATTCCACTGAGTATAGGAGTGGGTGACCTGTTCAGAGAAAACTATAGTAAAATGGATATGACAGTCAAGTAGTTGGCAGTAGTGTTAACTGTCAGCTTTACTTGGTCATAATAGTAAAATAAAGTCAGAGGAAAATCAACGCTTCACTTCAGAACAGCCTTTAAGGCCAAGATAAGATCTGTAAGACTGTTTCAAAATTGTACACAAACTCAGTCTCAAACCACATTATACATTTTGCATAAAAACATCTCTCAGTGCAACCCTCACTCTACTCAGTCTCAAATTAAAATGGATTATTTGGGGAATTTACATTCCTGAACAGATAATCTCTTTTCCCGTGCTTGCATACTGACGAAAATCATCAGAGACCCTATTGTATGAAGCAGAGCTGTGGCGTAAAACTGGAAGTGGTGACATACAAGCTTTTTCACATCACAAGGCCTGTTGACAGTGGTTGTCAGAAGCATATCCTGCAGCCTGCAAGTTAAAAACATTAAGTAAACAACGACCTTTTCATTAAAATGCATTAACATGGGAACTTGACTTTGCAGAGGAAGGAAAATGCACACTTGGTCTGCATTAGATAATCAAATACACAGAGATGGTGGTGGTGTGATGGCAAACATGGCATTGCGAGCCAAAATACAACAGTGGGGTGGGTTTCCCAGGCCAGCCCTCTAGCAAGTGTAGGGAAATGGGTCACAACTTCACATGCCCGCACACTGCTGGCAGCAGCTCATAGATGGAGGAGGGGAATGTAGGGCAGCAAGGCACAATGTCTGTCCCATCCACTCATTGCTCTAGCATTAGCTATCCCTCCAGCACTAGTCACCGTTCAAATAAAGTTTCAGACTATTTTGGGTCAGTTACACTTGAGGTCACATCATTCACACTATCTCCGGGATGAGAATGACTGATTGTGTTACAGTCTGCTGTTTGGTTTGCCGAGTTGGCCTGTGTAATCTAGATGTCCAAACACAGCACTTGTGCTCAATGTGATGTGCACATCATCTATCATTTATGTCTCGCTGTGACACAGTGTGTTAATCTCAGCACTGTTGTGTCTCTACTCTGTGCAGATATCCGCTGTCCTTTCTGCTCAAAGCCCTTCCCGGGGGGTCGAATCGAGGATCACCTGTTGAGCTGCCTCACGTCTCCTCCCCTACCATACAATAGTAAGTATCATATCACAGAAATGGCGTGACGCCTGTGTTTTGAAAAGGCTGGAAACACTTATGGTTGCTATGCGTGTGTGTGTTTGTGTGTACAGCGGATGTGCTCAGTAAAGACAGCGGAGAGTGCTCCATCTGTTTGGAGGATCTGGTACAGGGAGAGACCATCGCCAGACTGGCTTGCCTCTGTGTCTACCATAAGAGGTAACAAAGTTCAGCTCATGAATTTGTATTATCATAAAATACAGACATATTCAGATTTGAAGAGGAGGTAAAAAAAAAAACATGCAACTGAGTGCTGGTGAGATTCAAAATAAAAGAAGTGTTCTGCATATGGCAGGAAAATGTGTTTTGCTATTTACAGAGCTGAAAAAATGAAGTGGAGCAAGGATTTTCAAAAATAAGGAGGCAAAGGTTGTTTTGTACTAGTGTACATATCACTTAACATTTCTGATAATGTGAGACCTATTGTCCTTTTCCATGATATGATGTTCTCAACAACCACTGCTCAGTTATTGTCATTAAGAATCATTATTCTAAACATCTGATAAAATGTGCAGCATAAGAGCAAAAATCTCTTCATTTTATGTGCCAAAGGAAAAGAAACGGTTTGTGCTCTGTCCTGTTTATTTTACATGCATATGATGTGAGTATTTGCCATAGAGATTTCACAACTGTGAAAATAACTGCTTCATCATGACATTTTAATTAGAAGTTCCAGATATACCGCAAAGAGTTTCTGACGGGCTTTGAAACTTCTGGTGAAAATAAATAACTGTGAAGTTGTTAAAGAACAACCAGTGTTTATGTTTCAGCCCATTTACTACTAATTTCAAAGCACTGTAATAATGTTCAATGCTTTTATTCCCCCAACTTGTAAGAAGCCAATGGTTTCCGATAATTTCAGTACAGCATGAAAGTGGACTTGCTTAGACTTGAAATTTACTATGATTAGGTAATCCATCACAGTGAATTTCCTGCCTGGATTTTTTCTTTAATCATTGCGTGTTCAAGCAGTTTTAATCGACACTCCAGTAATAGTCTTGACAACAATAAAAGCAGACATGGTGTTTCACTGTGATCAGCAGATAGAAAGTTGAAACTTAAAAAAAATCAACTCAGATAAAGCACTCAACATGTCTGTATTTTGTTGCGGTTATAAAGCATATCAGCTTTCAGTTTTGTGCCACAGTTTGTGGGTGTGGCCGTTTGGCTGTGTAATTATTTTCTGGTCCACCCAGTCGAGCAACTGAGATTTGGAAAAAACCTGGATTTTTTTTAACTGTTTTCTGGATTGCATGATTAATCAATGACATCATGTCTTCAAATGCTTGTTTTGTTACACCAACAGTCCTAAACCCAAACTCACTCAGTGAGCTATCACACTAGAGAAAGAAACACAGCAATGCTTGAGACAGATGATCTGTAAAACAATCGTGTTCTTCTGCCAACTTCCTGTTTATTTGGCAATCCCGCACGTGAACAAAAACAACCAATCACAGCCAAGCAGTTTCTAATGTGGCTGTAAATCATGTTAATCAAGGTGCGTGAACTGTGGTCAAACCAGGCAACGCTGATCAGAGATGAATCAAGATTCTGTAACTGCATTGCCAATTTCTCCCCTCATGTTTTTAGAAACATATTTTAGTGTACTGTTTATCTGTAAAATATAAAAGTTGGTCTGGCCACTGGGTAGTGCTTTGTACACCGATTTAACAACATGGAGGTTGGGTCACAGACTTTCTAATTTTACAGCTAAACAGTACACTAAAATATGAAAACATTTGAGGCGAGAAATAGGCAATGTAGTAACAGAATCTTAAATCATATTTGATCAGCACTGCCTAGTTTGACAGCTGCGTTAGAGACTCCTCAGCTCTGATTGGTTGTTTTCAGTGCTTTGCAGTAGATTCTGGCAAAGGCCGTAACAGGCAATGATTTTTTCAGACTGTCTGTCTTATATAGTACTGTACGGATGTAGTGACAGTTTCAGCAAATATAGCATTATTCTCATAACTGTAGCTTTCACAATAAATGAGATAGCAAAATAGAAATAGTTGCAGATTATTTTGTCTGTTTATCAAAAAAATAATAAGTACTGTTGCATTTAATGAGCCAAGGAGCCTCCAAATGTTTTTAGAACCCGCAGGAGTGATTACAGTTAGTTTGATTTCACACTGTCAGTAAGTTGATTGAGCCTTGTGGGAGACGCCACATTTAAAAACCCACTGTAGAGATTCTGGTGCATGATCATGAGCTTATGAAAATGTCTTGGTGTCACCACCTTTTGTCTCTGTTATTCTCCCTGTAGCTGCATTGATTCCTGGTCCAAGGTGAAACCCTGCTGTCCTGAACATCCCTTTGATTGACTCGCGGTTCACATGTATTCTGCGCAGTGACCAATCTGACTCAGGTATGTACATGTAATACAAGTTTTTGGTTAACAAGTGTGAAATATTTTGTTATATGTAGTAGAACAGACAGTCATTCCAGTATGCGTTACATTGTCTAAAGTCCAGTCTGTCTTTTTCCATCTTTACAGGAGACTACACTGAATCACAATAAAATCCCAATTAAAATGTGTAACTGAACAAAAGCCCAATGTCCCTGTACCTATATTTGAGTGGAGAACAGACGATCCTAGGAGGAAGCTCCAGTTAGCGACACCCGACGCTCTCCGTTTGGATCGGTCCATTTGAACTTGGTCTAGGCCATTTCAAGCCAAACTCCAACAGTAAAAACAGCCGCGCAGTCTCTGTCTAATCTCTGGTGGAGTCCCTTGTTGGAACACAAGTGGATGAGGTTCCCTGTCTGTGTTACGGACTGGGCTTGAATCTGCGGAACATATTAAAAAAAAAAAAGGTCAAATAAACATTATCATCCCAGAACGATGGAACTTACCCCAGAAAAATCTTGAACTTGGGGAGGAACACAAAAAATGATGTTTAAACTGTGACTCTGGATCCTCTCCTGTGTATTTTTTCTCCCTCCAAATGGGATTGGTCATTTTATCAAGTATTTTGCAGAAAGAGTATTGTTCCATGTCATACATTGGATGAATGTTTTTTTTCCTCGGCTTACCCCAAATGAACCAACCTCACACCGAAAGCGTGAACTGTTACCACATTGCTTTATTTTGAACCAGCTGGAGGTTGAGGGCTTGTTTTTGGTGAATGGGGGCTGCCGTTACTAGGTGTTTTATTTTCTCTATTACCTGTAAACATTTCAGGGGAAGTTTGGGGGCTAATTGTTTTTCTGAGTAGGTCAGTTTTTTTGTAGTTGGTTAGTTAGCGCTGAGTTTAACGTGCTGCTACTTGCTGAGTGTTTAGGAGAGTTGTAGGTATTTCATAGGGCCATAGTAGCGCTGGTGTTGGCACCAATTTGAGCACTTTTGTCCGTCAAGGCTGATTTTATTTTATTTTTCCTCATAAGGTCTGGGATAAGTTTGTGTGTGTGTGTGTGTGTGTGTGTGTGTGTGTGTGTGTGTGCGCGCGCGCGCGCGCGCGCAAGTGTGTATGTGTGTGTTCAAATGATGACCAGGGACATGAGCATGACTGTGTATTCAAGAAAGTGTGTGTGCGTGTATTTACTGTAAATTGCCCAGAAGTCTGCTTTGTCAAGCGGGTTACCCTCTTCATTAATTTGTAATGCTAGTTTTTAACTACAGTCACGCTGGCAAACATCCTGCAACACGTGGCACTGATACACAACATGGCGGCTCATGTGGTCCCGTTGTACTTTGAATGCGGTTTGGTTTTTCTTTTATTGTCCCCCCCCCCCCTTCTCCTCCCTCATTCTCAAACACTCTCTGGGGGTGTAGTCCGGATTTTTGGACCAGACCCCATGCGACAGTTTCGCCATCTGGTTGCATCAGTGCCAGATCGAGGAGGGATAAAGGGACGGATGTATTTTTGGGGCATGTTTACACCATGTGGCATCTGCCTCTCTCCCCAACACTGGAGGCTATGGACAGCTGATGGTTAATTATTACATAACTAGCCCCCACCCCTCTCCCCCACTTTTTTTTTTAAAGAATTTTAGATAATATCACATTATGATAATAATTATGGCTAAATGTGTCACTGTGTGTGTGTGTGTGTGTGTGTGTGTGTGTGTGTGTGTGTGTGTGTTGATTGCCTTTGCCTGGTGAAGGGGTTCTTGTGCAAACAGGTATTTGTAGTGTTTTTAAGGCTGAGCTAAGATGGAAGCCCAATGGAAAGGCTGCTCAACAGATGCTGTTTGATGCAGGTTGTACACAGGCCACAGGGAAGGAACAAAATCTTTAAGCGATTGCTTTTGCTGCCTGTTCCATGTGTTTAAATCTTTGCGCTCATAGGGGATATGGATCAGTTTAGGGGTCAGCCCTGTGCACAGGTTTAGAACTGGCTTGTTTGTTCACCCCAGCCTCTTTTCTTTTTCCCTCTGGTCCCTGATGTTCTTCAGTCTGAGGTGCTACGACTTGTCTGGCCACTTGAGGGCAGCCCTGTGCATGTTTTCATGTTTTGTATTGGAGAATAGAAAAATAATGCCAAAAGTCTGTCTGTGTATTTGGGGGCATTGCGTGAGAGAGTGCGGAAGACATGGTGCATTGATCATTAGATGTTACATTTGTTGTGGTGATAAGTTATGATGTTGTATACTTTGGCTGGGAGGGGTGGGGGTGTTTGTTTGTGTGTGTTTTTTTTTTTTTTTGGGGGGGGGGGGGGGGGGGGGGGGGGGGGTGTTGGGTTGTCGATAAAGATAATAGACAATCTAAAACCCCACATTACTCTCATTTACTTTCTTACCCCTTCTAAGCTGTGTGGTGCAATACCTCAATCTTTACCAATGCTAACTAAGCACTCTGTGTGTAAACTAGCTCCTCCAACCAAGGACAGTATTTTGTATAAATGTCCCTGACTCCTTGGTTTTGAATCGCAGGGCACCGATCCCCCATCTGCCCTGTGCTTTGAGGTTAATGTATTAGATGAGAATGTTTTTCAAAGAGTCACCACAGCGGTATCTGCACCCCCAAGATATGGACAATCTGCCTTTACTCTGGTATAAAAAAACAAATTGAATTTTATTTATTAAAATTGTAAATATGTAATGCAGTTCAAGAAAATGGCTTGGTCTTTGTCTGTTCAATATACTGTTTCTAAGCTCCAATCTTTTGTATGTCTCAGAAATTGTTTTTATATGTATTTTTTACAATAAATATGTGTGAGAGATGTTTTGTGAATGTCTGTTTTGTGTTTTTAAGTGTCAGTCAGTGGTGGAATGTAACTAAGTAAATTAACCCAAACCTAAATATAATTTTTAGGTACTTGTACTTCACTTGGGTATTTTCTTTTTATGCTACTTTATACTTCTACTCCACTAGATCTCAGTGGAAAATACTGTACTTCTGACTTCACTACATTGATTTTATAGCTTTAGTAACTTTGAATAATCAGATTATTAATACACAATATAATCATACTAATAAACGACGATGTCATATTATAGATTAAGCTACCCAGCAGTATACAAAGTAATTAAAAAAATCCATCTTTACTGGCTGCAACATTAAAGTGTTGAACACATTGTTGCATCATTAATTATAATCCAATAATACATATTCTGAAATGGGTCATTTTGCTATTTGAGTACTTTTAATTTGAGCGCTCTAAATACATTTTGATGCTAATATTTTTGTACTTTTACCTGAATAAGGTTTCAAATGAAGGACCTTAAACTGTAGCAGAGTATATGTATTATGATTTTTACAATGTGGTATTGTTACTTAAGTAAAGGATCTGAATATTTCTTCCACCACTGGTGTTAATGATGCGTTTGTGGTTGTTTGTCCCGTTCAGTGAGACCTGAAGCCGGACAGATGGTCCCGAACAGTTTTATTTTAATAATAAGAATTTAAATTACACTTAACATTCCAAAATGATGGTACATATCTTTTAAATCAATTACTTTTAAATAAGCAATGGTGTATTTAATACAGTAACTGACAACCTTAACAGACCTTAAGTTTGGTTCTCTGTATAGTTAAGCTGCTGAAAGGTAAAGTTAAGGTATTGCTATTGAGTTTTTTTCCCTTCAAAAGTTAGCAATGCTGTTTCCAAGGTTAAAAATTAATGTGATTTAAACTTTTAAGCAAACATGGACAAGACTTTCATGACAACTGCTTAAACTCCATCTGCTGGTGAAGACTGTAATACCCTTATACGCTCCAGCAGGGCTGCTTGGTGGACCTTGTGGTGAGATTTTGTTTGTTGTTCTTGTCAACTGTTATTTTGTAACTTCGAATCTTTAATATGTAAGTGATAGTGAATGCCTCCTTCCTGCTAGAGTACAAACCCTACTCTTAAGTGACTGATCTGATTAAAATGCGTTATGTAGTGCTGGCACAAACAATACATACCTCTCCAACTGATACTGTAATCAGACTGAATTGCCATTTAGTTTCCCTTTCAGTTTGAATTTATGAAGAAAACTAAGATGTGTGGAAGTGATTCAGAGGTATGGAAAAAGGCAATACAGGTATTACTGTAATTACAATTTCCACCTGCCAACAGATGACACCACCAAACATTTTCAGGTCAAGTATTCCCAAACGCAAATGAGATAATAACGTGTCCTAAATGGTCCAAACCTGGATTTTGTACTGAGCTCCCTCCCACAGGGACAATCATCATCAGTGTGAACAATGAAAGTTGCAGTATGATAAACACAGTTCATATGCAGGCAATACTTTTATTGTAGTCTGGACAGGCATAATTTCATGGACCCTGTTTTACTGACATGGGGAATCCTGGAAGTCCCAAGATCCCACTATGACGACCTCTGACCAAGTATTTAAGCAACAGTGTAGTTTCCGCAGAGTCCTTGCAGACAGGGATTTTTCTTCACTTCATGCTGTCAGGAAGTGAAACTCGACACCACAGGCTGGTAGAATAAATGACGCCATCTACCATGCAAGGTATGCTTTCAGTGTAGCCTCTTCCTCAAATAGTACTGTGTGGTGTCAGACACAACTATAATCCAGCAGTAAAGGTAAGCAGAACATTCACTTTACTCTCTTTTACTTATTCTTAACTTGTTCTGTGTGTAAAGTAAAAGTGAATATCCTGTTGTTTACTGCATTTTTATCTGCTTGTAGTATTACTGATACTTTCAACAAGACAGCAAGCTCTTACTCTTACTATTACCCATTTATGCAGGTAGTGTAGTTTTGATTTTATCTGCTGAGGTTTTGAGATCTCTGGCAGCAGTAGTATCAGTGATAAACAACTCAAAACCCCCTCTGCCTTAAAACCCCCCCAAACAAATCACTTATCTGCTGATCTGTTAACTTACCTTTTTTGAGAAGGATGCATTGAATCTTTTAAATTCATTTTATTTGTATTACTTGAATTGTATTATTCAGATTTAGGTCAGTTTAATGAGTACTTTTTAAAATTCTAAATTCAGGACTTCATTCAGGCCATGTTATTCTACTTTTACTTAAATAAACGATCTAAGTATTTATTTCACCACTGACAGGACAAATAATTATAAAAGAGCCGTTGTTAATTTTCTTTAAAACACTTTTGCTTTTCCTGTTTTGACAAGTCAAAATGTCTGCTGTGGAAAAAAAGGCCAATGATTGTGTTACTATGAATTAGTGCATTGGAAATTTAATTTTGAGACAAAATATAGAGGTTTTTACAGAGTATCATGACAGTTGGAGAATCCCTGACCACATAAAGTTTTAAAATCAAATAACATGACCCAAAGCTTTTTTTCCCACAATGTTTGCTGAGTGTAACAGACGGCACCCCACAGCTCAAGTTTTACTTCCTAATGTTTACATCATTCTTGGGCAACAAGTCAGCAGCATGTCTGGTAATACTGAAAAGTCCAGATTTGATGTAAGCAACACTAAACGTGCTGGTGGGCAGATATTTAAAAAAAACCCTGTGTTTGTGTAAATTAAACCAACAACAGAGCTAGAAAGGAAATGTGGAGAAACAAATTTGGCATCTGAACGTTTAAATTCAGACACCAACGTTAAAGAGTAAATCCTAAGTAAAACAGGAACTTTCCACTTCAGCTGCTAAACAGTGTATCCCATCAGGCCTGTGATCGCTTTGTCAATCCTTTTATTTGACTGAACTGACTGTTCCCTTCAGAATGTCAGGCACAGCAGACTCCCTCACATCCAGAGACACGCAGGACGCTCCTGGTTACGATGTCCCCTCATCACCACCACCGTTATACTCCGATGTAGGACAACAACCTCCACCCTACTCCGCAGCCCCGCCAATGTACCCTCCAACCAAATTCGATACAACTTGCACCTATCAGCCTACCACTGGATACGAGTCTTTCCGGGACATCGTCCCACAGACCTCGTCAGAATCAACTCAACTGATTGCCTCATCTTCTTTTGATGACGAGACAGTGAGACGAGCGTTTGTTAGAAAGGTTTGTTTGACTCTGAGTTTCAACTTTTGGCTACTGACTTTAAGAATATCTGCATTTATCTAAAAATCATATTGTGACTGATAACAAATAAGCTCTTAAACAGTCATCAGTATCTGTTCAGAACATTTGGTAGTGAAGATTTATATTTTTATATGTGCTGTTCTTGACCTCTCCCTGTGCAGGTGTTCAGCATCCTGACTCTCCAGCTGCTGTTCACCTTCAGTGTGGTGTGTGTGTTCACCTTCTCCAGCGTAGTCAAAGATGCGGTGAAGAGCAACCTGTGGGCCTACCTCAGCTCCTTCATCATCTTCGCCGTGGTTGCCACCGCCCTCAGCTGCTGCAAGTCCTTCAGTCGGCGTCACCCCTGGAACATTGTGGGACTGGTGGGTCAAAAAAAATACAGGAGTATGAAACCCCAAATGTCTAAAGGGGAAATTAATACCACACAATATAGATACTGTCACAGATATTTCTGTTAAAAATATATAAACAAAACATTCATATGTATCATACCATATTTCTAAAGTGACATAATTCATATTACCTGTATTTTAGCTGAGTTTTACAGTAGGAGGAGGTGATGGTGGATGGTGTGACACCTTGGCTCAATAGCTGCCGAGCTGCGCTCAGCAGCAGACCACTATATGAGACCAACAAATAACGAAATTGGTTATTTTTTAATGAGAGGTCAGGACATTTTTCACGTTTCAACATATCCCCTACATATGAAACACACAAATGTAATATATCTGTGGTTTGCTAAAATGTACAATTCCAACAATTATTCTGGCAAATGGGTCGATATTATAGATGTTTATTACATTGAATTTTGTGCCTACAGGTTGTGGTCACCCTGAGCTTGTCATACATGGTGGGAACCATCGCCTCTTTCCACGACACCAATGCTGTTGTCATCACTATGGGAGCAACGTTGGCCATTTCTGTAGCCATCATTGCATTCTCTGCACAGGTCAGACAACTGGGCATTTTACAATGCTTCCTGTATACAGACATCATCCTCTGTGTTTATTTTCAGCTAAGCGATATGCAGACTTTTCAGTTGCCCTGCATATTGGTTTTGACGTTACAGCTCTTAACTGTTTCTTGTAAAGAGAATCCATATCTGACTTTAGGGTGACATGTGTTGCAAGCACTGGAAAATAGTATCATACAAGGCAAAATGTCAGTGTAAACCTGGAACGATTAATCGATTAATTGAAGGAGAAAACAAAGACAAAGATATATAGGTACAGGTAAAGACTGATTTTTGGACAAATCATTTTTTTCTTATTCAAGCATTGCGGAAGAGTATAAAGATACGTATATTTGTGGTCCCTTACTGAGGTAGGAATATGGTTAGTAAAGTGAGATAGGTTAATCAACATTTTGCCAACAAGTAAACATTAGTTTAAAGTAAAAAGACAGTATTAGGAAATGTGGAATTTCAGGCAGAGGAGCTTGACTCATTCTGACAAAAAAATAAATAAAATATGGATAAGTGAAATTACATAAAAATGTTTGTGGCAATTAAAAAAAAAATTCAAAATTTAAGACTATTTAGCGACTTCAGGGTCAAATATTTATAAAATTGAATGAGACATTTAAGACTTTTTAAGAACCTGCAGACACCCAGTTATTAAAATAAGAGTACAAATAGGAATTAGAAAAGGAAATAAATGATAACAATCCAGGGATAAAAAATTATAAATGTATGTAGTAAAAATATTCCAATGTGTAAGTGTATATTGGCCCAGCATGTAGGTGGACTGTGCAATTAATATGATACACAGAAATGCAATTCAATTTTCTAACAATAATATAATCTATATAAGATTTCATGTATTGTATGCAGTTTACAATACACTGATCGCATTCTACAATATTTTTACATTGATCATTATTTTTACATTTTTAAAATATAACGTATAAATAAAATAAATAAATAAAAGTTTTATAGACAAAGAATGTATTATTGAAATTAATTAATGTATTAATGTGTTCCTGTGTGATTTACAGACTCGTTATGATTTCACTATTTGCTACGGTCTTCTGCTGATTCTGGCTGTGGACATGATCATGTTTGGGTTCTTCTGCACCTTCTACTACTCCTACATCACTGACGTCGCCTATGGATGTCTGGGTGCTTTGCTGTATTCACTGGTATGGGAGAAAGGAACAATATATATGATAACAATGCTATTATCAAAAGGGGTGTACAAACAAGACTTACACAGCACACCCCACGCTTTAAAGCAACTGTTGTCCAGGTCACCTCAGTAGGTTAAACAAAGTATTATCACGGATAAAAGCATTCACCAGAGTCAGCTTATGATCTTATTGCCTTCAGACAGACATATAAACTGTTCTGCAGGTTCCTAAGTGAACCTGTCTGCTACAATTCTTCATACAATCCCACACAAAACCACTTCTACAGCAGCATTTTAAGTGAAATCATCGATGTGTCAGCAACAATAGTAAAAGGATCACTGGGCAAAAGGAGCATTTCTTCTATCACAAGAAGCTTTCAGAGGAGATACCTAATTTGTTGGCTGTTAACTGTCAAAATACACTACACACAAGACTATAACAGGCCTTTTGTACAGAATTTACTTGTCCTGACAGCAAGCCAGCATGCACAATACCAGGGCCCTGAGGCCACGGCAGCAAAATGGAATTTAAGCCATCATTACTTTTATCATTTACGCCTGTGCTTCTCTTACTGTGACATGTTGCAAAGCCTTCCATGACAAAAGCCTCATATAAACTGTGTCATAATTTATTATCACTTATCTGGTGGTTCTCTCTTTCCCTGTCCTAACTCTTCTTCCTCCTCCTCCTCCTCCTCCTCCTCCTCCTCCTCCTCCTCCTCTCCCTTCAGTTTCTGATGGTTGACGTTCAGCTGATGATGGGGATGATGAGCTTCCGTCTGGATCCAGAGGAATACATCAACGCTGCTCTCACGATCTACCTGGACATAGTCCTCATCTTCCTCTACCTGCTGGGGAGGAGGTGAAACTGTATTCACAAAATACATTTACACACACACACTCATGGACGAACTCCAAACTGTACCCACCATGAAAATGTCCTTTATTATTATGGTTTAATGTATATATACTGTAACTCCTGTTTTAAGTGACAATGAATGAATGATAATCAGTGTTTTAACAGAATCTGCCTTTCTCTCAGTTTTTACATAAACAAAAAAATATATTAAAAAAAGGTATTGTACTGTATTTGTTGTTTTGCTGTGCATGTTAACCCATACAGACATTTAACCCAACAATTATCCAAAAACAAATAAAAGCATTTAGTTTCTTTTTTTCGGGATTAGACGCAGTCCATGGAATTGAGATTATAAACACTAACATCAAACCTGGCTAAAGCACCTCCAAATCTTTATGTTGTGTGATGTAAGTCAGATGCTGATAATCTAATAGACACTGATCTAAGGACGTATGGGATTTAAAGCAACAGGGACAAAAAGTATAATATTGAGCATATTTTTCATATCGCACGGATTCATACTCATCATTTATCCTCACCAAAGTTCACTGTACTAAGCAATATTCAGAAATTATTCGACAGCATTCAACATCATTTTCTGACAACCTTTCTTACAAAAGGGAAAACCTTTTGTAGGCAAAAGTTTTGTTGGTGTGCTTGCATTAAAATCCCCAAAGCCATTTACATATTGAGTGAGCTGTCTAAACTTTGGATCTGTCAACCCCCACTGTGGGCATCACTGCAGGGATGTTAACTAATTAATCTGAACTGTTTCGTTTGTAAATGTCAGAAAATTGAAAAATTCAAAACTCAAAGTTGGTATCTTCAAATGTTGATTTGTTTTGACCAAGAGTCCAAACCCAGATATCTAGAGATTTACATTTTTGCTTCAAAGTGACTGAAGCGATCGAAAACAGATGTAGATTAAATGACTGATCTGATTAAAATGAGTTACGTAGTGTTGGCACAATCAATACAGACCTCTCCAACTGATACTGCAATCAGGCTGAGTTAGGCAATACAGGAATTACTATACAATTTCTGCCTGTCAACAGATGACACCACCAAACATTTTCAGGTCCAGTACTCCCAAACACAAATGAGATAATAATGTGTCCTAAATTGTCCCATCTTTGAGTTTGTACTGAACTGGCAAAAAAGTGACAACCTCAGAAACAGCCTCTGACCTTTTGGGAAGCTGTGGTAGAATTTGCATTTTCCGACAGGGGATTTTTTTTCTACTTCAGTTCATGCTGTCAGGAAGTGAAACTCTACTACGTGTCTGTAGAATAAATAACCCCACCCCCACCACCTCTTAAGGTATGCTTTCAGTTTAGTCTCCTCCTCAAACAGTACTGTGTGGTGTGGGACTCATAATCTGTCAGAAAAGGTAAGTAGACAATTAACTATTCATATTATCATAGTATATTATTCTTATTTTTTATGTGTAAAACAAAATCAAATATCCTGCTGTTTACTCTGCTGCTACTTTCAACAAGACAGCAAATATTAGGTTAATAATACTGTATTAATAGGGCCTGTTAAAAGAACAGAAAATGTATTTTGCCATTTACTCCTATGGTAAATGGCATGAGTTATTTACTTATGCTGATACTCATGCAGTCTCAGTAACAGCATAGATGTTTCTGGGTACCATTGTGGGTACATCAATTTTTATTTTGTAATATTTGGGTGAACTGACTCTTTAAGCCTCCTGAATTAAAAATTCAGGAGGTGCAGTAAGTCTAACTGCAGCAATGGATCTTTAAATATGTATCCGTTCACTCTGGAGCCCTCTGAGCATGTACTTAAATGTTTAGAATCCAAATATGTTAATATAAAACTAGGTCTAAATAACATCACTAATATCTCTGCCACACAAAAGTTTAAAATATAAGTATACTGTAAAATCTCTTAATGCAAAATAACGTCAGTGATGTAAAGCTAAGTAGTTTTAATTGATCTCATCTGCATGAATAAGTCATTCTCTGTTTATTATATATGATTTAATGTAATTCTGCTACTAATTATGGAGCCCATAGAGAGAAATCATTTTTGACACAGAGTAGGAAAACCACAGGTGTGACTAACTAAATTAAAGATAGTTGACTTCCGTTTGGCTGCTTCACACTGCTGCTGTCACACCGTCAAGATTATACCAGAGCCAGTGTTGTATTGGAAACACCTGTCCTTTTTTCCTACTATGACAAGTCAAAATGTCTACTGTGAACGAAAACGCCTACTGTGTTGTTACTGTAACTGAGATAAAGTCTGAGGATATTTAGGGGTATCATGATCATTGGAGAATCTAAGACCACACAAAGTTTTTAAACCAAATAATGACAGAACACTCATTGTTCCCACAATGTTTGCTGAGTGTAAGAGAAGTGGCCCCACAGCTCAAACTCAACTTTCTCATTTCTTTACACCATTCTTTGGTGACAAGATTTGACAGAGGCATCAAGATGCTGTACCAATAGAAAGCAAGGGTATGGCGAGCTGTAGTTTAACTTGTACTTTTTGGTTGTTGTGGTACATGCTGGCAGGCAGAAATCGAAAAACTCCCATAGTTTAACTTACTTAAACTAACAACAAAGATAGAACAGAAATTTGGCGAAACAGACATTTCAGTTCAGGCACCAAAGTTAATAAGTAACTCATGAATGAAACAGGAACTTCCTGCTTCAGCTGCTAAACAGAATGTATCCAATCGGCCCCGTGCTTGCTTTTGTATCAGTTGGTCTTTTAATTAGACTGAACTTCGATCATTGGTCCACAGTTCCCTCCAGTATGTCAGATACAGCAGACTACCTTACATATGGAGATACGAAGGACGCTCCTGGTTACGATGTCTCCTCATCACCACCACCATTATACTCCTACGAAGGACAGCAACCTCCACCCTACTCTGCAGCATCCCTAATGTACCTTCCACCCAAAATTGAGATGACTTACACCTATCAGCCTACCACTGGATACGAGTCTTTCCTGGACAACAGCCCACAAGCCTCGTTGGACACAACTCCATTGATTGCCTTATCTTCTGTTAAAGACAAGACAGTGAGAAGAGCGTTCGTTAGAAAGGTTTGTACGACTTGCCATGGGTGCATTATCCTCTACCTCATTTTCCCAACCTGAGGGGTTGAAAGAGAAATATTTGGGGGTAACAAGATGATTAACAGGATAAGAAAGAAGAAAAAAAAATATTTTGTCAACACAAAATTATGTTTTTTCCCCGAAAAAACTTTGCCCTAATTTTTACTTTCTTCCTGTAAATTATTGGCTAATTTTACCACCTCAGGCCTCTAAAAATTAGGAAAATAGATCAATCTGAGATGAAAAATGACTTATAGACATATGCAACTTGTGAAAAGAAGCCGCAAACAGATGCTGCTTTGTTCTCAGGGATTAAGGGACTGTTTGACAAAAATTCGAGCCAAAACTGTTCATTGTTAAAAACATAAAATCATCTTGATTCAAAAACCATTGATTAAGCAAGCAGGTAGAGGTTAAGTGTCCCTAGTTTTAAGGTCATAATAATAGAATACATCATGGCTGGTGCAGTGAGACATTTATAAGATTTCTTTTGTCTGAGCAACCTGACCCAGTATCTTCCAAATGTGCTTGTTTGAACTGATGTTGACCTAAACTTCTGTCATACTATTAACGATATAAACATGTATATTGTTACAATAGGTTTTTGATACAAAACAGAGTAATCCTGGATTTTTTTCATAGCTATGCTCACTTGCTAATTTGTTTTTATTAACTCTTAATTGTACTTGGTATTGACGTGTTACAGCTGAATACAGTTGGAGGGAGGTGTTTTCTAAGCAGTCAGCCAACTGTAGCTGGTGGTTAACTGGTTATTATGATAATAAATATGGATTTATCTTGCGGTTGGGAGTCATTGCATTAGACAACCATGACAACTGGACACTGCAAAGCCTCATAAAGCACAAGAGATTCTGGACTTTGGTCAGATGTAAGTGTAATAATCTCTCTCAACAAAATGACAAGAAAAATCGATTGTTTTTTGAATCTGTAAATGGTCACAGATCATGAGTGTCAAAATTAAAGCTGTTTTATCAAAAGACATCTATAGAAACCTTTAAGATCAGTATATGTGCAGAATACTTAGTACTGAAGCTCTTCATTTTTATTAGTGCTGTTTTTTATCTTTCCTTATGCAGGTGTTCAGCATCCTGACTCTCCAGCTGCTGTTCACCTTCAGTGTGGCGTGTGTGTTCACCTTTTCCAGCGGTGAAATGGTTCAGACCAACCTGTGGGCCTACCTCAGCTCCATCATCATCTTCGTAATAGTCGCCATCGCCCTCAGCTGCTGCAAAACCTTCAGTTGGCGTCGCCCCTGGAACATCGTGGGACTGGTGGGTTACAAATACAGGAGCATGAAACCCCAAATGTCTAAAGGGGAAATTAATACTACACAATATAGATACTGTCACAGATATTTCTGTTAACAATATATGACAAAACATTTAAATAATAGACTAAAAGGACAGTCGTAGCTTTGCAGGTTAAAAGGAAATATATATCGGATGGGTTACACCCATGGTCACAAGGCCACATCCTGGAAAGAGAAGTGAAATATTGCTGCTACTGCCTCAGCTACATGTCACTCAATTAAAAGTACTTTTCTGGGAAACCCTTTAAATTAGTAATGATGAAACATTTTGGCTAATTTTCCTCAACATTTAGACCTCTCTTTACATTTAAATGGGCTCTCAGAATGTGGTACATCTTTTATTGTTTCCAAATGAAAACCTCAGTTTCCTCTGAAGTTGTGTGACATTTAAAATGAGGACATCCTTTACTTTGTAGTACGCAGCACAGGGTTATAAGTGCTCGTTCAGGGTTTCTGGTCTATAAAGTTTACAAAGAAGACTATAATCTGAATCTGTCTGTTAGAAGCAGTTAAACTTGTGAAGCTATCTATAAAGAGAACTATAGGCAAATGCTTCCTGAGATGATGTTAGAGATGTTTAATACCTTGAATTTTCTGCCTACAGGTTGTGGTCACCCTGAGCTTGTCATACATGGTGGGAACCATCGCCTCCTTCCACAACACCACCGATGTTGTCATCACTATGGGAGCAACACTGACCATTTCTATAGCAATCATTGCATTTACTGCACAGGTCAGACTGTCTGACTCTATTAGGATTATACAGACAAACAAATATTCATGAAATTAATTAATGTAATAATGTGTTCCTGTGTCATTTGCAGACTTATGATTTCACTGTTTGGTACGGTGTTCTGCTGATTCTGGCTGTGGACGTGATCATGTTTGGGTTCTTGCATGTTCTACTACTCCTACATCACTGATATCAACTATGGATGGGTGCTCTGCTGCATTCACTGGTACGGGACAAAACTATACAACACTACAACTATGAATAATTCTTAGCTGAGAGAAAAAGGAAACTCTTTGTGGCGCCAAATTGCCCAGTTCCACTTAACATTTTACATTTTAAAGCAAATGAGTGTGCAGCATCAAAATAGGTTTTCTTTATCAGATGCAATAAAGGCCCTGTACTCACACACAGGCGCTTTCATCAACAGCTTCAGCAGAATAGCGATGAACACCCAGCCTTGTGAAGAAATCTGAGCAGGTAAATTAAATGAAAACACCTGTGAGCTATGAGTGGGTAGAGGTTTTGAAAGCAACCAAGTCAAAGTGAGTGCAAGGGTGTGGAATTCAGCTATCATTCATTTCATCATTTACACCTGAGCTTTTCCTACCATGGCATGTGAAATTTTCTTCCATGACAAAAACAAATAAAATGTGTCATAATTTACATAATTACTTATCTGGTGGTTCTCTCTCACCCTGTCCTAACTCTTCTTCCTCCTCCTCCTCCTCCTCCTCTCCCTCCCTTTAGTTCCTGATGGTCAACTGTCCGCTGATGAAGGAGACAATGCAATACTCAACGCTGATCTACCTGGGCATAGTCCTCATCTTCCTCTACCTGCTGGGGAGGAGGTGAAACTGTATTCACAAAATACATTTACACACAAACACACAGATAGACACTCCAAACTGTACCCACCATGAAAATGTCCTTTATTATTAGTGTTTAATGTATATGCTGTAACTCCTGTTTTAAGTGACAATGAGCGAATGATTATCAGTTTTTACAGAAAAAAACTTTTTCTCAGTTTTACATAAACAAACATTTATATAAAAAAATGTTGTATTGTATTTGTTGTTTTACAGTGCATGTTAACCCATACAAACGTTTGACCCGACAATTATCCAAAAACAAATGAAAGCATACAATTTTTGCTTTTCTACATTAATAACACAAAAAAGCAGTATAAATGCGCACATCAAACCTGTTTACAGAACTTCCAAATCATGTTTTGTCACTAAATTCAGATGCTGATAATCTAATAGATCCATAAGGCCATTTATGTTTCATACAGCACCACATCAGAGACCAAAAGTCTATACAATACAGCTTACACTGATATAAGGACGTATGGGATTTAAAGCAATATGGACAAAAAGTAGTGCAAGATGTTGAGCATGTTTTTCATATCACACAAATGCATCTTTTACCCTCACCAAAGTTCACTTGTTTACTAAACAAGCAATATTCAGAAATTATTTGACAGCGTCCAACATCATTTTCTGACTCAAAAAAACAAAAACAAAGATGCAGTCAGTGTCGTATTACAAGAGACAACCCATCGTAGAAAAGAGTAATTTTGTTGATGTTTTTCTTGAATTCAATTCACTTAACCATTTACATATTGAGTGAGCTGTATAAAACCTTCTGATGTGTCAACCCCCAGTGTGGACATCACCAGTGTTGAAGTCAAAACCACCTTAACCGAGACCAAGTCATGACCAAGACCAAACCAGAGTCCCTTACTCCCTTACTGTTCAACATGCAAATGAGGAAAGATTCCTCTTCATTTACCTATTTAACTGTCATATAGTTTATGTGTGCATGTGTAAGTGTCCCATGAGAAATGTCTTAACAAATAATCAAACAGCATCACAAAGATGTATTATATGTGTGGGAATTTTCCTTTGTTTTCTATGAGCAAACAAATACAAACAAACACTAAGGAAATGATATCAACTTAAGCGTCTTTAATCAACGTTCCTTTTCTTTGCACAGGCAGTTTGGTAATATCCCTGCAGTTGTGGTCATGACTGGTTTAGTAATAAAATCCAGAATACTCTTTGTCTGTGACCAGGTGAAGATTGAGTAAAAATGTGTTTGAGTCCGAGATGAGACCGATAACTAAAAAAGTGGTCTTTAGACCAGGACTGATCTCAAGTACCACAACACCAGACATTACTGCAGGAATGCAACTAATTAATCTGCCAATTGTTTTTTGAATTAATTTGTTTGTAAACCCAAAGATATCAGATATGACAAGGGAAAGCAGCAATAACGCTTGGCATAGAAAGACTAAAACTATTAAATTATCATTAAAATAGTTGCCAGTTGACTAATTCTACAGCTCTACATCAATAAGACAGTAAACAAGTCTGTTATCCACCCAGTAACAGCAGGGTGTTCAGGTTTACATCCTATCCCCAAGAACCACAATCAGACTGTACATAAGGAATGACTCTGTGATATATCATTCTTTGAGGCAAGCAAATTGCCTGAAATCTCCAGATTTCTCACATCCATATTGTTTTGCACTGCCTTACCACAGTGAAGAGTAGTTGAACTTGATCCGCAGCAGGTACCTCATGCGGACCTGTGCAGGGTTGTAAACAATGAACTCGTTGTACAAGAGGGAGTAACAGTTGTTTCTATCCACCCCCGTCTTCACCCCTGGCCCCATCGGCACGGTCACACCATCCCTGAGGAAGAAAGAGAAGAATGCAAATGAAAAAGTTGTGTTTATCTAAAGACAGATAGCTTTTCCTTTACAATACTTCCTTCAGAAAGTTGCAAGTTTCAGTTGAAGCCAGCACAATATGAAAATCAACCCGCAAAGATGAACTGAAACCAGCTGCTGCCAGCAAGGTTGGAAATTTAATCTAAAAAATTATAATGCCTTAGAAAAGTAATTCGTAGTTAGAGCTGCAACTAGCAATTCATTTTGTAAATCATAAACTCAGAACTTGTTTTTCTATTAACTGACTGAATCATTGGGTCCAGAAAATGATAAAGAAAAAAAAAAAGTCTATCCCAATGTCCTAGAGTCTAAGATGTCATCATTAAATATCCTGTTTTGTGTGGCCATCAGTCCAAATCTAAACGATAGTCAGTTTACAGTTGTAGAATACAAAGGAAAACAGCAAACATTCATGTTGAAGAACAACCTCAAACCAGAAGATTTTCACATATTTGCTTTAAACATGGATTGACTCAACTCTCAGTGATTCATTTGTTGTCCATCTACTAATTGTTTGGTTTATAAAACTTTAGAAAATGCTAAGTACAGTACAGTGCAGCGTGATGTCGTCAAATGTCTTGTCTGACCAACAGTCCTAAACCCCAAAATATTCAGCTTCCTATCATGTAAAATTAAGCAGCAAATTCTTACATTTGAGAATGCAGAACCTTTTTTTTGCTTCAAAATGATGATCAATCACCAAAAATATTTGCTCCTCATTGCAGCTCTAGCTTAAAAACAAGCAGCTCAGTCTATTGAGGTTGATCAGACTTGGATTTAAAGGATGGCCCTAGATGAAATTAGCAGTATGTTTCATGCACAGATGAAATGTTTCATGCTCTGTTATGAAAAACAGTATTTTTTCAGACTGTGAAATCTACAGGGAGACGAGGCAGCAGAGTGAGAGAGTAGGCAGAACAAATGAGAGTAAAACGAGGTCAGTCCATTAGTGTATGAGTCACTACAGAGCAAAAAGAGTTCACCATTTAGCATTTTGACTTTCATTTTAGTGGTTTGACTCTATAATGCCTCTTTCTGGTGTAAAACCATCTGACATTTCTATGGAATGCTTGAAAATGACCCTAAACAAATACATCTATATGGATAAAATAAACAGCTTAGGTAGTCTAAATATGGAGCTTATGAATTTCTATAATTGATGCACTGCTGTAAAAAACACTCCGCAGGTTACAAAGAGTAGCAACAGGACTCTAGAATAAAATATAACAAAAGTGTACGTATTATTTTTTTTTGAGGTTAATAGGAAAGCATCCTTAGAGGGACAGTTCACCCCCAAATCAAAAATACATATTTGCCCTGTTGCCTGTAGAGCTATTTATCAATCTAGATTGTTTTAGTGTGAATAGGTGAGTGTTTAAGATATCAGCAGTAGAGATGTCTGCTTTCTCTTAAATTTAATGTAAGTAGATGGCACTTTGCTTGTGGAGCTTAAAGGCCCTGACACATCAAGTTGATGGTTGACCCTTGCCATCGGTAAGCTTCTCTCACCCTAGTTTTTGTGGTGTGCCCCACACTGTTAGCACTACTTGGTTCTTTTTTTCAACCAATTCACAATTGTGAATCGATGTCACAGATGGTGGAGCCCGTCAGTGAGTGAAATCACTGACTGGCAGTTAAACTCAGTGCACAAAGAGAGAAATGAATGTGAGGAAAGCACACAAACAAGTCAAGAGGGTAAAAAAAAAACTTGTAAATATTAGGTAACCTTTTTTTGCCATTGAGCTCTTTAGCAGAAACAGTTCCTAACTCTTTGTGTTACTGTTCACTGATGCACGGTAAATAATCTTTGTTCTTTAAATATTGTGTTGTGTTGTTAATATGCTAACTTGCTAACTAGCATCTTGAAACCTTCCTTTCCGTCTTCCGGTTTCCCCTTTTCTAATACGAATATAGACTAGAGCTGTAGTCTTTGCGATGCGTTCAGGAGCACCTTTTCAGCCAAGACACAGGCAGTGTGAAGCAACAGTTAGCCTTTGTTGCCACTAGTTCTTTAATGTCAGTTTGGTGTGTCTGGGCCTTTAAACACCAAAAAATACATTTAAAAAACTCAACAGCAATGTCTCTTGCTAGAAATCACGACCTGGTTACTCAAGATAATCTACTACAGTTACTAAAGATAATTCCCTTTCACCCAAACTACACCTGCAAACAGTATCATCGGATAGATGGAAGCTTGCATCTACTGCTAGCTCATCTAGCACCACTGAGCTAGCTAGCGTTACAGCTCATCTTAGGACGCTATTAATGTTTTCAACTCACACTCAAGTACATCATGAGCATGGGCCTCTCGTCCATGAGTAGATGAACACTTCCCTCTGCACAGTGATACAGTGGGTGGGTGTAATTCGGTAGAAAGAAAATAGTTCCTACATGAAACTGCTCACCAGGTCTGTGGATTATCTTGAGTGACCAGGTCATGATTTCTGGAAAGAGACATTGCTGTTGAGTTTTTCGAATATATTTTTTTCTTTTTTCAAATTTGAGAGACGGCAGACATTTCTATATCTGATATTTCCAACATACAGTAACACAACTCACCAAAACAATCTAGACCGATAAACAGCACGACAGGTAAAAGGAAAAATATGTATCTTTGATTTTGAATTTGGGTAAACTGTCTATAATTTACCTGTCTACCTTTTTTTTTTTTTTACTATTTACAAACATGATCATCTAGGAAACTAGAAATTAAATTATTTTACAGTTAATGGAGAATGATGGTTGTTTTCAAAACTGTTTTGTCAGATTACTATAAATCTCAAAGTAGAAGTTCAAGAAGTTTAAAGTCAGTGGAGATTATTTATGGGTTCCTTCGTGTGATGTTATGATCATTTATTTCTTCTTTTTTTTTTTTGTCCTTATCAACCTGCTTTTTCCGTTACAAATGTAATTAACAAACTCCCCCTCTCAGAAATTATAATGATTTCTGTTGTATAACAAAAAGCACAATTAAATCAATGGTTGGCCTGTATGAAATGTATCAGTGTAATGAGACAGACTAACAGATTGACTGAGTTTTTGGGGTCAGGTCCAGTCTGTCCCAGGCCCTTGGTGCTGTGTTTTCCAGTCGGCAGATTGTTGGCCTCGTAGTCTGCATCCAGCAGCTCGTTACTGTCTCCCAGAGCAACCTGCAACCACACACAGACACAAAGCATGGGTGCTGAAACACTGCTGCATTACATCTGTGCCCAACATACAATGAGAAGTTCAAATCATGTTTTTATTGTTAATTTGAAAGATGGTCTTGTATTGGCAGCTCTTTTATGGAAGCTAAAACCCAGAGCGCGCAAACTATTATTTTTCCCTAGGTTGAATCTGCTGTCCTGTGCCTGGCCTTAATGAAAGTTGGGATGTGCAAACAACTACCTGATTTAATCTGGCCACGCAAACAGTAAATCAACTCACCTCACATAGTAACAGCAGTCCCACATGGTTGTTCTGATTAGCAAAGCAGTAGTTGGCACTCTTAGACGACATGTCAGCAAAGTAGATACCTTTTCCAAACTAGATGAAAGGGAATCAATGAAATTATTATCACTGGAATAAAAAAAATATAATAATGAAAAATGTTGAATAGTTAATAGAACATTTCATTCCAAAAATGTAATTATGAAGTAAAAAAATAAAAATAAGAAACACAAAGGTTTCTATTCTAAATATTGTGTCGAGTGTTTTTTAGACCCTGCATCAATGTTGGGTATTATTTTAATAGATGTTATGCATTTATTTTCCATCCTACCATGTAACCAGTGATGGGAGCTTCGGGTGGGGCCACTCGGAGCCCCTGACTGAGGATGCCGACCCAGTTAGAAAGGCGGGAACCGTGCCACAACAGAGTCCTGATAGATAGACAGACACACACACACACACATAGTGGGCTACATGAAATAAACACACATAACTGTATACAGGGTTCATACAGAAAAGGGCAAGTCATATTCAAGGGCTTTCAAGTACTTTTTTAAGCACTCATTTTTATTTTCAAAAATGCAATTGTTGTCTCCACGATCATCTGTTGCAAGAGAATAGTGAAGTTTATCCTAACACTAAACCGACTGTGGGTTACCTGTTGTGTATGTTTGAGAGGAAGTTGTTACTCTCCCCGTCTCTGTCCACTGAGAACATGTCAAGGACAGTCATGGTGTAGTCACGATGGGTGGGGGCGTGAGTGGACTGTAGATACTTTTCTATCACCTTCACACAGACAAGAGGAAAGTTTATGAGAAAACATCACCAGCCACACAAACTAGGTTTTTGCAGCTGAGGTGTCACTCACTATTTGGTCTACCCATTTTCTCTGACTGTGTTTATGTCAATTAATGGGTGTATAGGAAAATACATAAAGACAATTAGTGACCTTTTCCTTTGTAAAGGTTTGCAGCTACAGTGATCAAATGCACTCTGGTTTATTAAGGCTGCTGTCAGTGGAAAAATTGTGTCTGCCTTCCTGTATGATGGCTTGAAGTTGGAAAAGAAAGTCAGCTCTACAAAGAATATTTTGCTGTTTGAGGTACCACTGACATTAAAGGTAGAGATACAGATATACATAATATAGATAGCTAAAAGTCTTGATATTCACATTTCACATTTCTCTCTTTGTGGCAGGTAACGGCCCACAAACCTCACCGACTGTTCTTCACTTATGAAGGGACTGTTCTTTACTTATGAAGGGGAGGAGGGTGGCTGGTTGATTTTTATTTTATTTATTTATTTTATTTTGATCCCCCCATGTTAATCACTTATTGATGCTGTTTTTGAAGTATGAATAAGTCATTAAGTAATTTATTCCATTGAAATATCATTGATGATTTTTATAAATGACAAAAGGCACATCTGCCTCATTTTCGCTGTGGTATCATGATACTACTCAGAACCATGATATTTTCACTGGTATTGTACCGTGGGTCCCAATTTTGGTACCATGACAACACTAATCTGGAGGGGATTCATCTGCAAAAACTAATGAAAAACTAAACAACGGTATTCGGTATTTGGCCAAGCGTTGAATTTTATTCGGCTTCGGCCACAAATTTTCATTTCGGTGCATCCCTACAAAGCAATGAAAGACATGGGGGAGAGAGACAACGTATCAGGTAGCAAAGCAAGTAATTACAGGGGCAATTACAAATATTAATGCCATAAAACAATAATATGAAATAAAACAAACAGACAAAAAATAGGTGAATAAAAACCAATAAACAAATATAAAGGCATCATAGTCAAGAATTAAAAGCAGCTTCATACAAGTGTGTTTCGAGGAATGATTTAAATTAGAGCACTGACTCATGCCTGATCTCCTCTGGCAGGGCATTCCAATGTCTGGGGGCTCTTACAGCAAATGCACAGTCACCTTCCATTTTTAGCCGTGACTTTGTTACAGATAACAGTGTTTTGCCTGTGGATCTCAGGCAGCGTGTTGGTCATAAGGGGAGAGCAGCTCAGAGATATAAAGAGGTGCCAAACCAGATGGCCTTAAAAGTGACAAAGTATTTTATCAACTCTAAAGACGAGGGTAGCCAATGTAAAGAAGCAAAAATAGGTGTAGTATGGTCCCATTTTTTGGAATCTGTTAAGAGCCCAGCTGCAGCATTTTATACAAGTTGGAGGCAGTGAAGTGACATATGAGAGAGGCATGTGTACAGGGAGCTGCAATAGCCAATGTGTGAACAACCTTCTCCAGGAGAGGAAATGACACAAATGATTTGACTTTGGTAAAAACTGGAACTTTTTAACGTGGAAGTCTTGTTAAAGGTACAAGTTGAGTATTAGTATTATTTTTAATATTAGTCCAGGCTAATAAAGCTTGACCTTTATCATCATCACAACAGTTACGACAAGTAAAATGCTGACCGTGTACTCATTGCTGCTGGAGTCTAGAGGCTGCAGCTGGCACTTGAGGGAGCTGTACTGTCGGTCCAGAGGATGTTCGTCATTGTTTTCACTGGACTGAACCATTTTCACTGCAATCTGAATGTCACTCAGAGCCTGAAAAAAGAAATAAGAA